TAGCATTAGAAAGCGGTTCCATTCGAAGGCGGTAACCGCATATTTCTTAATCTAACCTCAGCATCATTAAGTCGATGTATCACGCACTAGAGTTGGTAACTTTCATCCAAATGCAGTTTCAGGGCCCTACCATCGAAATTTATTCGAAGTTGGCGAGTACCGTAGTCGACCGAAGGATGCATTGTATGATGCTCCCCTGATTTCGCTATGTCGTACGAATAGAGTTGAGGAAGAGGAAGGTCGCCTCTGCGTTGGAAAATGACAAGAAGAAGAAGCGGATGCCTTACGGGGTACTCCAGGTCATTCAAGAATTTTAACTTGATTCCCCTGCAAGGCTCATGGACTCATTTCTGCTCAGAGTTCTTGATAAAACGCACACTAATGAATAAGCGCTCGTGGAAAGACCCGACGGATCTTTCACGAACATCCGAATCCGAAATCCGAACCATCCAAAGTCATAACGACCCATCAGTGTTACCTCCTTTCTACTAAGAATCATGGAAATAATTGTACACCGGCATATCAGGGCTAGATTTTTTAGAGGAAACCCTTTACATAGAAACTAATGTGCCTATCTTCCAGGCACGGAACACTTTCGTGATCAATTCGGGACAGTCTGACCACTTCTCAGATTATTTCAGAGCCATTTTTGGACCTATTTCAGCACAGTTCACCACTATTTTAGAACCATTTTGGGAGTAATTCATTACTATATAAGGAACTAGTTCGGGATCATTTTCAGACTAATAAGGTCGATTTCGAGACCATTTCAAGAGTTGTGCCGCCTCATTTCGGGATAAGTTCACGAATTTTTAAGAACCACTTCAGGACAATTTTGGGACTAGGCAACTTTCAACACCAATTTCTAATGACCTATTAAAAATTAATAATAGCGGATACCCAAAGGCGGAACAATTTTTAAGAAGGAAGGATGAGAAACCATCTGCAGGATTAATATGCAAAATACTAACCAGCACGTCGTCAAGCGACAAAATAAGCTAGTCAAAATTAATTGGGAAGGTGGCAGCAGGGCTAAAATCACCAAAGGGTTCAGACGATGGCTGGAGATATTTACAAACATATTCATGTTTCATAACAAAGGTGGCAACAACGTCTGCAACCAATGGTAATCAGTACAGGAATTGGCAAAAATATCGTCGAGAAACTCTACGAGAGAAATTCCTCAAACACACGCCTTATCAATTCGAGAACTCAAAACCAAAATGTGCAACCTTTGCAGTACAAATTTCAGAGATGGCGCGGCGCGGCGCGTCGTCTTTGTTGTTTTATCGTTTAAGCTTCATTGAAGCAGAAAAATTTAATCATAACAAGCGCCAAGCCATAAAAACTCAAACATTATGCGTAAATCATTCAACCCAGCACACTCGTGTACACCTATGTATTTCCGCTCGCTCCACCACAACTTTCCCACTTCGCCTCTTCAGAAATTTTATTGCCTCTCAACGTTGCAAGAAAATATGAATGTCGACAAACAATGGTTGTGGAATGTTAGCATTTTGCCAATATTTACGCATTTTGTTTACATTTCATTCAAGCGTTAACCGCCGCCACCGCCGCCTCTCACAGACCATCGTACAACACAAACAACAACACTGTGCCGGTTATTGGGCAAACACTGCTGCTGTGTTGGTGGTTGTGGCGGCGCATAATTGGTGTATTGTTTGGTGGTTACTTTGTTTGTTTATACTTTGTTGTGTGTACTCGGTGAAAACCATAAAACAACAGTTATTTTTTTTTCAAAATCGCACGCTTTTCTCAAAGCAGCCTACACTTTGCGCTGTTCACTTTTTTTTTGTAATTTTTGTTATTTTTCATATCTTTGTGGGAATGCGCAAGGTGATTCCTATGCAAATACATAAAACAACGAAACAACAAAGTTAATTTCTTCAAATGGGTAATCAAGTTAATATGCTGCCAGCTTGGGCTATCAGGATGAGGTTAGTTAGTTGAAGGTGATGGCGTTTATACTATGAAGTAAAGTTCTAACTCTTCGTACTACCTGAAGCTGCGCAAAGTTCTTTTGAGATGCAAACTTCTTCAACTATCTTTAGCCTTCCTTCTAGATCACTTCGGGGCTAGTTCGGGAGTAGTTCAGAATTAGTGCGTGACTAGATCAGGGCTTTCTATAGGCTAGTTCGGGACTTTTACGGGATCATTTTGAAATTAGTTCGGGACGCAGATGTCTACACATCAAATTTCATGAGTACCTAGTACTCGCGCCTTTTTCAATATGTGTTTTATTTAAATTGAGATTCTCGTTATTTCGAACAAATGATTTTATTCAAATTTTGTTTTTCAACTTATTGAAGAAAGCTTTAATCTGCATAGGTTTTGTTAGCAATCTCGCCGGGCAAACCTCCAGAGCCAAAGTACACCAAACCTCTCCTTGCACACTAAACTCAAAAAGCTTATAAGTAGACACGTAAAGGAGGTTTCCGTGCTTAGAAGTCCACGTAAGTGAAGCAAGCTTTTGACTGCCATTCAACAGGGAGTGGCCAGACGTGTCCAGATATTTACATCCACGTATCTTCTGATTACGTGGGACCTCGCCTGCGCTGGTTTTGGGGCTCGCCATGTGAAAAGCGCTTCCCACTAAGGGCACTAAATGCCTAGGGCCATGTGACGTCTACTAGAGCTGCCATGTAAAGGAGCGAATATTGTCGTTCACCCATCGGACGAGCGTCTAGCCACAAACAAAGCGAGATTTTTCAACATCTCGATGATTTTCAGAATATTTTCTGACGAAGGCGGGCATTTAAGTGCACTCTGTGCAATCCACAAGGAAGGCGACCCCACCATACGCTTTGAGTCATCATCTATTTGTCGACTTCAAAGCCACTTTCGTTAGCACGAAAAGAAATTGTCTATATGCCGCGGTGTCTGAATTTGGTATGCCCTCGAAACTAATACGGCTGTGTAAAATGACCAGCTCCGTCAGATTTAATACCAAACTTGGCATTCCCAATTGGCGTCAGTTGGCAAAGTAGAGAAATGACTACCGTGCTTTGTTGGACTCGGCCAACATCGCTTAGGTGGTTACTGCGCCATTCAAAAAGAAGAACACGCTTGGTATGGATACTTTTCCGCTGTTCATGCTAAGGAGCTTGTTGCGATATTTTCTTTTTTCATACTGACCACAGGAGTTTTTGTCCTATAGAAAAATCGTCCACCACACCTTTCCCGGTGTTTACCCGTATACCGGCACTCAAATACCTATCTTCATATATCAGGTGAATGGCAAATGTGATATTCTTCCAGTTTAAGCGATCCCCACCAATTGAATGTATGTAGTTTCCGATACTTCTGCCTTCCTAAACGAATGGAGGAAATTCTTAGATTGAATAAAAAGTAAGATCCTTTTCCACTATGAACAAACTCTTGACACTTTAGAGCTGATTTGCTCATTAAGCGAAGTATCATAAGCTTCAGATAATTACAGAATATCTAGATCGTTAGTCGAAATTAGGACCTTATCCTGTGATGACACCGGTAAGACCCCTTACTGTTATCCGCTTCGAAGATGAGTTTCCTTCTATATTGCTTTGTCCAAGAACCCAGCAGAGAAAGGGTTTTTGATGTGACTAAGTGAAGACAGCGTTGCATGATATTTCCGAACTGCTTTCGACTTTACTACCCTGAAGCCAAGTGTTTTCAATGCCGCCTGGCTGTCAACGAATATAGCGACGTTCCCTAACAGAGACTGACTACCCCGTAAGCCGCCTTCTCTATGGAAATATCTCCACCTAAAAGACACTGCGGTTATCAGGCAGGCGGTATAACTGCCTTATTTGAAGGTGCTTGGAGTACAGACCCGAGCCGACTCCCTTTTTCATATTTCTAGATGGAAATATCTTCCCAATCTCTCGGGTTGGAAAGTGTGTGGGAATCTTAAAATTAAAATCCCAGGATGACGTAACGTAATCAGTTTCGACATCTAAGTAGGCCTTGATTCCGTTACGCCGTCTACTGTTAATTACCTTCAAGACCATTGCGTGCCCGTACTTCATCTGCTTCGACAATTTTGATTCCCTCAATCTAAGAGCCCTTCAAGTAAAACATCATGTGCACTCCGTCCGTCATGTACACTATACCGAGGCTTGCGAGTATCTGCACTCTTCCAGTTATTCTCTGATTGCTGCTTTTATCAAGTGCTTTCCATAAGACCAGCGCTCCATAGGTTAAAATCGGTCGGATAACTGTGAATGATATGCAGTGACAGCGCCCAGTTTTTCCCGAAAGCCCTTTTACAGGTATAGTACAGATCTTTCTTTGCTCTTTTTTCTACTTTGCGCCTCTACGCTAGTTTGGGGTCAAGGATAATACCTAAATATTTCACCTCGGATGTGAAAGGTTCAGACTAGTCCCGTCCAGCTTTGTGTAGGGGAATTCCGGATTTTTTCTTTTTGCCTTGTGAACGAGACAAGTGCGGTTCTGGAAGGGTGAACTTCTAGCCATTTTGTTTTATGCTCAATTGGAAACACTCTCCAGTGCTGATTCCAGCAGCTAACTCATTGTTTGCAAGAATTTTCTGGAAAGTAGTATAGTCAAGCCATCAGCGTAGGCGACTACCTTCGTTCTCCTAATTTTAAAGCTTTCTAACAGTTCATTTAGCAATGATTAAAAGATTGCTCAAATAAATGTATGTATATATCTATATGCACTATAAAAATGTTTGAATAAATTATTTAATTAAATACACAAATTCTTGTGCCACAACTGTTAGTTCTCTTTGCGCTAGAAATTTAACTAAAAAAACAAATTGCTTCTAATGCTCCACATACATATTTCTTTAACAAATCGGAATTCCTATTACATTTCTGACCATCTCAACGATTGGAAATGCGATCTCCTTCTATGGAAGCCACCTTCGTCATAGCTTCTTCGTCGACATCTGCTACTTAACCGCTACCTGATAATCACTTCTCTTCCATTTCCACTACTTTTTGATTTAACGTTTTCCAATCCGCCCCCTTCCTCCTTCCCATCCAGCCAGTACTACCACATTACCAATTCAGCTTCACTGTCATTTTATCCACGCTTTGTTTCGCGTTTGAGTATCTCCTCTAAACGACGTCGTTCTTTGACACTCAAAATATTCTCCAATTGTTCCAGTGTCAGGTTGATTTCGCGCTTCGAGTGCAATGGCGGCCAAAGTGTTGTGATGGCGAAGGTTCTGCGGAGTGAATAAAGTACAAAAAATTCCGATTTAGTTTTAGCTGCGAGTATTAAAATATGTCAAATATGCTTAAAATGCTACTTCAGTTGTTGTTTTTGCTATTGTTTTACAAAAGTGTGTACCTCAAGGTTTGTTAGAAAATGTTAAATCCATATAGTTAATTGCCACACTACAACAAAAACTAAGCAAGCGGTGGTTGTTGTTTTTACCTTTGGCAGCAATAGCCTTTTTGGCGCTTCAGTTTTTGGTGTTAAAAGCGAATTAAGCTAAGAGGGTCAACAAAGGTTAAAGGAAATACTTAGCGGTGTTGGATTGCAGTTAGTTTAACTCGCTGAGGATTCCTTTGTTTTTTGTTGCGAAGGTGTCGATTCCAAATGTTTCAAAACTTTACAAAGTATCGAGAAAGTGTTCAGAGGGCTAAGTGGCACTTGTGTAGGAGTGGGTTGACGGATTTGTTTACTTGCGGCAAAAGCAATAAAAGTAGTGAAAGTTCTTTAATTTGGGTGGGTTGAGTGCTCAGTAAAGAATTTTGTTTGCTCTTATTTAGTTCTCAGTATCTTTAAAATTGCATTAGAAGTTAGTACACACATCCATTTTAAGGATTATAGAATAACGGAGCATTGGCTTTGTGGCGGACTTGTGCCTTCCGTGGTATATTTTCAGTCATAACACTGACAATGAATGGCCAAAAACCCCGGCGCCATATTTGGTATGTATGCTGATGTCTCCAAGACCGATCAAGGTAGCCGGTATGTGGTTTACTAAAGAACTTAATCACTTATCACTAGCTAGTTACTCTGTCTTCCACGCTGTATTTCAAAGTTTCGTAATCTCATTTGGTTGACAAATTAAATCATTTATTACAATATGGGTATCATTCGAAATGTTTTAGAAAAGACTTTGTTTCTCTTAACTACATGCAGCAAGCCTTAAGTTCAACTTTACAAATATTTTCAGGGTATTTGAAGCAGGTCAGTTCAAAAAGGTCAATTATTTAATAAATTATTTAATAAGTTAAGTGAATTAACAAGATGGGCGTCAAACGAAACGCGTTTATAAAGGCTTGATATTTGAACTATAGGTACTTAGAAGGATTGCCACGTATTTGAAAAATCAAATTCAAATTAATTCAGCAATTAATTGATACCAATGTCAGATGAAAAAGATTTAAGAAAAGTTCATTGTTTCTTACTTATACTCAAGATCTGTACATACATATATGATATATTTAAATATGAGTGTCAAACGAAGCAGTTTTATGAAAGCTTTAATTTTAAAATACTATTGATTAGGGTTGCCACGTATTCGAAATGTCATATCTCTCTAACTATATATATTTTTTATGAAGATCTTCAAATCTGCACCATTCCTTTCAAATTCAAAACTGATATGTTAAACTTTTTTATTTTTTGAAGTTAGAACTTTTTATCGAGACAGGGTGATTTGAAATTAGAGCAACCACACCACCATGCGATACTTGTCCTCTTTTCCTCAGAAACGACTCAAAGGATTAAGATTAAAATTGGCACACAGCTCGCTCATAACTCTGACCAACATTTGCATTATTTTTTTCCGGTTTTTAAGAGTGCTGCCACCTGTTTAAAATGTCATATTAAATTTTGGCGTTTTAGCTGCATGCGGTTAATAGGGGTAATCTACTTCTTATGTGGAAACCAACGAATATAAATAATGAGCGAAATCGGACCTTGAACCGAGCTCTTGAGCTATGATTTTTTAAATTTTCAAGACAATTTCTCCAAATTTCGCCCCCTTCGGTATCTTACTCAGATTACTACCAACCGTGGTATACAAAAATTAGTATTGTGGGTGCAGCCCTTCCTCGCTGATGCTCTTACCAACGAACAACATTTCATTTAAATATGTTCAAAATGGATAGACTTTGTTGCTATTTTCTAAAGAATAAAATCGTTGTATAAAGCTCAATAAAACTTGAAAAGACTACATTTATATGTGTAGATTATATTTTATCACTATGTTGACATATTTTCCTACAGCAGTTCTCTGCTCAAATTATTATTTGCATTTGTAATACTTGAAATACTATTTTTACCTTGTAAAAATTATCCAATCTACTACGAAAAATACATACCTGTGAACACGCATCGCATCGATGGCAGTCGGTTGCATGACTTCATGTTGTTGTACTTCCTTGCGGAACTCAGCATTGTAACGACGGAATGCATCCATGTAACGCCTTTGGCAAACTTCTTGGCTGCAGGTATACAACAGGAAAAGAGCAAAGTGCAGGAGATAGTGAGGAAATCGGAAAGAAGAAGTTGAATTGTGCAGATATGTATGTACATCGATGGATTACCGACGCGCCGGTAGAGGCAAAAAAGTCAAAAGCAACGTTGCAAATAAAAGTTAAATAAAAGGACAATGATGTGAAATATGAAATGAAAATATTTGCTGAGCGCATACAAAACTCGAGAAGATGAATCGAGCAAGAGCACTAAGCACAAAGTAAACCGAAGAATAGAAACCACATAAAAATAAAGGTAAAGGCATTTTCCAACAATACACCGGCGGGGGTGCCGGTGAGTAGATGCGATGTAAAACTCTGTATGCACGAGTGCATCGCTGTTGGCCGTAAGGGATTTGCGACTAAGTACGACAACTGTGCAACGCTGTTCTGTGTTGGTGTTGTACACGTACAAGAGCGCTAACTAGTGTGGAACATGGATCAACGCCGCCAGCCAGCAAGCAGCACAAACCGCACCAGAACATGTTCATGTGGCAGCTAAGGATGAACGGCTAAGGATGTGCACTGAATGATCGAAAGCAGGTTGTGCGAGGAAACAAATCAAATCAAGCTAAACGAGGCAGTAAGGAAATGCAATTTCCTGACGAAATCTAAAAAGATTTGTTGCGCTTTTACGGTGTCTTCCTGTGCAGCACTACTAACAAGGCAGCAACAAAGTATACACACGAGGCTAAGTAGGAGGAAAAGCAGCGTAACAGCAATATTGTTGGTGCAACAATTCCGTGTCACAGCGGCAGGCTTCACTCTTTTACCCTTCTTCCATTCGCTTATTGCCACACTGCCACTTTGATTGTCCCACTGTTGCTGGAGATTCCTATTACGGGTTATCTAATATAAAATTTGCACTTCTCCACTCGCTCTCTCTCGCCCCCCGCCCCTCTCTTTGTGTATTCACTCTTTATTTGTCTGCTACTTACTAGGTTTGCATTTGGTTGCCATTACTCGTTGGGCTTGGCGGTCCAAAGCCAACACGTCGTGCGATGAGTATACGGTGCCATTGTTTTTGTAGCGCATTCATCGGTCGCTTGAATGGATTTGTATCGTATTCCAATTTCATGTTGTTGATTCGCTAGCAGTTCTTCACACTGTAAAATAGAAGAAAAAAAAACCATCTTGTAAGTGCATACGGTGTTTTTAGTATTTTAGGTGAATCGTGCAAAAATTGATGCTGGTATAAGGCACTATATGAGGCGCTGATATGTTTGCTTGCTTGCAGCACGCGAAGTGCAATTGCAATTGCAATTTCAGCTGATTGCTAATACGTTGCCTTGTGCGGCTTCGCAATTTTTCACCTGTGCATTCAATTCGATTTGTGTGTTATTTTCTTGCGATTTTTTGTTTCCGTTCGTGTTCAGCGTTTGTTGGTTGTTTACTACTTACATCGGCGAATAGCAATTCGTTGGCAACTGTTTATATTGAACAAATAAATTGGCTAAGTATCGTATACGTGTGTGCGTGTGCATGTGTGGGTTGCAATTGTTTTAAGGGTTGCCAGAGGCGAAAACCACAACAGTGAAAGCAACATAATTTTCTAAAGCAATCGATAAAGCGGTTACCGAGTTACAGCTTTGTAGTCATAAGTGGGCAGTGGTGCCACGCCTGTTTCCAAAATAGCTTAGCAGTCTTATTTTTTGTTAATAGATTGTTTTAAGTATTAACTTGTAGTAAATTAGCGTCCTCAGTTATTGAAATGTTGGAGTTTTCGTATTTCTGAAATTTACCGTTATACGTGCGGTGTGTGTCCGTGTGTTAGTCCGATTTCGATAAAATTCAACGTATTCCTTTCCTCTACCAAGGTAATTAAGTGCTCCAAGTTTGGTAGAAATTGATAAATCTGTTACCGAGATACACATTTATCGTCACAAGTGGGCGGCACCACGCCCATTATCCATAAAGTTAAAATAATCTAATTTTCTGCTAAGTGGTTGTTGCAAGCATCGATTTTGAGTCAATTAGCTTCAGTAGTTACTGATTTATCGCAGTTTTCGTGTTTCTCTAAATAACCGTTATATGAGAGGAGGGCGTAGTCATTGCCTGATTTCAAATATTTTTAACAAATTTCTTAGCTATACTCTAGGCAGGGCTGGCAAAGAGTTCGGTAGGGAGTGGTGCAGCGTCTACTGAGTCTTGTTTCCGACCAAAATTCTACTTCACATGCAAACTTTCAACAGTTTGGATCCAATATCGCAGTTTTTACGTTTTTCGAAGACACCGTTATATGGGAAGTGGACGAGGTTACAGTCCGATGTCGATATTTTCAATGCCAAAGTACCTTGGAGTAAGGGCAACATGGACGGACAGACAGACATGGCTTAATCGACTACTCTATTCACTGAGCATTTTAGTATAGATACATATTAGACTATTTCGAGCTACCACGAATTAGCCCCAAAATTCCGATGATCCCTGCCAGCCCTACAGCAACACGCAACCAATCTTTACCGGGTCCCGGGACATAGTGGTGTCGCTGGAAATGGGGGAGCGGACGCATTTGCTTGGGAGGGGATATGAGATGGAACTTGCGGAAGCGACTCAGATCGTGAAATCTCCCCTGCGATTTCTGTCTTCAAAAGTTGAGAGATTGACCAGGGCAGCCACAAACAATAGGTGGAAAAATCTACACACCTACCGATCGCGTTCGCTCTGGTCACAACTCGAAAAACGAAGAACAAAGAGCTTTTTAAGGCTTTCAGCGCCAAGCTTTAGGCTTCGCACAGGAATACTAACGGGACACTGGACCATTGGCCACATGGCTGCCAAGTTCGAAGCCCCCTATAACAATTTCTGCAGAAGCTGCATAGATGAGGAGGGAAATAGAATCCGTCCAGCACTTCCTCTGCGAGTGCTAAGCACTCCGAGGAAAATGGCTCCAAAAACTTGGGGACCGTTTCTTCGAGAACCTAGATATCTTAGAGAAAGCTCCACTGGAAGCTAGGCTGCTAGGATTCTTCAGGGAATGAAAATAAATCAAAGATATGTGGGTATAGGCCTGGGGATACCTCTGGGCCTTGCAATGGGCCTTTTTGATCTCCGAGTGAACTCTTTTCAGAGCTGTCCTCTTAATCTAAACTAAGTTAACCTTAACTCACCTCACCTCAACTTAACCCAACTCAGCTTTTCTCACCTCACCTCAACTCACCTCTATTCAACTTACCCCATTACACCTTATCTCACCTCCACTCACCTCACATTAGCTTACCTCATCTCAGCTCAGCGAAGCAATTCGCAAATAAAATGTTATCTTATGTTAAATTAACTTCATTAGAACTAAACATACAACTATCAGGATTATGGAACGATAAGGAATGTATTAACAAAAATTTCACTTTCGTAGCGCGGCCTGGCATCCGCCGTTATGCTATTTTTCATTGATTTTTATTTTTATTGTAAACATATTTTCTTTAAAGCTCTGAAAAATGCAATGTTTTGTAAAACATGACTTCCGCAGCTGGGAAACTCTCTACATACATATACATTAGGGTGCCTCACCACAAAAATATGTGGTGGTTTTTCCACCGGAATTATAAAATTTGTTATATTTAATGAAAATATAATTAACGCCAAAATATTTCGGGAAAAATTGAGATCTACGTGAGCTGGACAGATTTCAAAACATATACTTCAAAAAATCTCATTACTTTAATACAAATTTAAAAAAAAAAAGTTATTTAGAGCTGTTAAGCTTACATTCTTCCATCATCTGATGCATTTTTTTTTAATAATTTTATTTATTTAATACTTGATTTTTGGTGGCATTTTCAAATCGGTCCAGCCAACGTAAGTCTTAATATTTTTTCGTAATATTTTGGAGAATAAAAGAAATTTTATAATTCCGAGGAAAAAATTACCGTTTTTCTTGTTTTGCAAGGCGGGTGATGCACTCTAACATACATACATATGTATGTATGTAGATAACACATACGTATACGGTAACACAGGCTTTGGGTTGCGTGTTGTCATGGCAGCCAATATCGTTTAGATTTATTTTAGAACATTTGTTCCAAACGAAGGGTTCAAAATAATCGCACACTCGCATTTATATTATTAGGGTCACATAAAGTGGAAATAAAAAAAAGAGTTTCTTAACACAGACTTGGCATTTTGGCATTGTTAAAATCTTTCCGCAGTTTTTTTTTTCAAACAATAATTTATTGGAAACGCTCATTGAACGTATCGATGTGTCATTATTGTATAATGATGCCATTTTGACCCGCACAAGGCGTGGAAAAGAAGTTAAAGGGAGGATGAGAAAAATACAAAAAAAGGCAGAAGTTGAAGCTTAGAATGAGAGGAAAGGATAGCAAATAGTAGCAAAGCAGGGTATTAGGGTCAATGACGCGCTTCTAAGGGCCAGTAGCGAACAGCTGGCGCTGGCCCAAACTAGTTTGCTTTGAATAGGGCAAGGAAAACGTTAAATGTAAGTAACAAGAAAAACACAAGCATATCAATTCTTTTCTAATATAAATGTGCGCCAATTTAAAACATAAATTGCAAACGAAAACTTTCAGCTACTAGCAAGCTGAGCAAAAGGGTAAAAAGAAGTATAGGAAATTGCGAGTGCTGCCACGGACGAATTGTAACAATCACCAGGCTGGCTAGGCGAGTGAAGACGAAAAACGCCAACAGCTGCCAAAAATTATTGCAGCCATAAAAATGTAAAATCGGCAATGGCAAGAATAGCAAACCCAAATGGAGGAAAGGCAGGGGGCAGCAGAATACAAGCGAACATGGACACTGGCGACCAATTTTGTTTTTTTTTTTTTTTTGCTTTCAAGTCATTCAACCAGCGCTGGCCAAGTTGACATACTGCCCCCTTGAGTGCGGGTTAAACGTACAAAGCAATCAGCTCAGTCAACACCCGGCCAGATAGAAAGAAGTGCAGCCTATCAGTGCGCCTCAACGATGACTACGACGACAACGACATTAGAGTGTCATGAACTTTGCGCTGACTTTTCGTGTACAAGGCATGTTCGTACTCCTCTCTACTTCTCCTGCTCCTGCCTGACTGACTCTGGCATCAGCTGGCGTTGTCTTTTAGATTATTGATGATTGTCGTTATTTGGTTCTTAGTTTATGTGCACACGCGGTACTTCTAGCAAATCAATTGCACTTGAAGGAAGTCCTCTTTCGTGTTTTTCACGTGACTGCTTGTGTGCGCTTTGTGTGTGTGTGTGTGTGCTCCTTTTGCAGACCATAAGTTGCTGTTTTGTTGGCGCATATTACTACATATACTCAAGCTGTTGCTGTCGCTTTCTCTACACACTAACCTGCTTCCGTTCGCGTTTGTGCTTTAAAACAAAATTTATGCCAGGAAGAAAGTTATTTCAGCTGCTTTAATGGGTACTTAAGCGTTTTGGAGAGCGCCTAAAACTATGCACATGAACACATGTTATAAAGTAGCTTTTCTCTGCTTCTTCTTTTCTTATGAAATTTAATAGCATTTCACTGCCAACTCTTTAGAAAATTGCCTTAGCCCATTTACCCAAATTCATAAAAGTAGTGAAGTTTACTCGTTTACATAAGTGTCAGTTTCTGTTGTTGTATACTACATACATACATACCTTTGTTTATATAAATTTATCATAATCTTCACGAATGGTAACATGTTGTTAAGTACATTCTATAAAAGTGAAGAAGGTGCATGGTTGCTCACTACTCAAGTTGCTTGCTCCTTCGTTTGCCTGCTTAAGTGTTTGCTAAGTATTGTGGCTGATAGCGGTGGTGGTTGGAGGCTTAAAGATATTGTTGTAGATATGTAAATAAGTGCCTTATGAGTTAGTTTGTTTACGCATTGCCTCCCTTCTTTCACATTGTCAGTAAATGCTCATTAAGCTGGTTATATTCTACCCTACCCAAGACTCTTATTGATGTGTATTTACTAAGAATTGCAATAATTTTCACATTGTTTGTTGCTGTTGCCATGGTACTCAGATGTATATCTATGTTTCTAAATAAGATGGCGTATAAGTATGTTTGTTTAAGTATTCCCCGCTCAAAAGTAGCATTTAAGTATATATATGTATATTTGTAAAGCCTCTTACTTTATTTTAATAATATGTTC